TTGTCTCCGCGTCCCTTCCCTCTTGGCCTCTTTTCCTGGGCGACCTGGTCCTGGGTCCTGGACGGGCCACAGTCTCCAGCCTTCGAGGGCAGTTCAGCAAGTCTGGGAACGGGGTATCCGGAGTAGGTGCGCCAAAAGCCGCGACAGGGCACTGAGGGCTAGAACACGCGCGCCCCGCCCCGCAGCTCCTCTGCTCCCTCGCTCACCTCGGAGTCCGACCCAGGCGGTTTGCCCATGGACCCGCCAGTCACATTTGGAGGTGCGCCTGAGTGCTGTCCCTCGCCCCGCGTGGGAGCCCTGGCTAACCCGCCGTGTTTTCTCCCTCTTCCGCGCGCTCCCGTCGGGCGCTCGCAGAGCAGACCTATGGCGAGGTGAACCAGCTGGGCGGCGTGTTCGTCAACGGCCGCCCCCTGCCCAACGCCATCCGCCTGCGCATCGTGGAGCTGGCGCAGCTGGGCATCCGACCCTGTGACATCAGCCGGCAGCTCCGCGTATCCCACGGCTGCGTGAGCAAGATCCTGGCGCGCTACAACGAGACCGGCTCCATCCTCCCCGGGGCCATCGGGGGCGGCAAGCCCCGCGTCACCACGCCCAACGTGGTCAAGCATATCCGGGACTACAAGCAGGGAGACCCCGGTATCTTCGCCTGGGAGATCCGTGACCGGCTGCTGGCCGACGGCGTCTGCGACAAGTACAATGTACCCTCGGTGAGCTCCATCAGCCGCATCCTGCGTAACAAGATCGGCAGCCTGGCGCAGCCCGGACCGTATGAGGCGAGCAAGCAGCCGCCGTCGCAGCCAGCTCTCCCCTACAACCACATTTACCAGTACCCCTACCCCAGCCCCGTGTCGCCCACGGGCGCCAAGATGGGCGGCCACCCTGGGGTCCCGGGCGCAGCGGGCCACGTCGGCATCCCGCGTTCTTGGCCCTCAGCGCACTCGGTCAGCAACATCCTGGGCATCCGGACGTTCATGGAGCAGACAGGTCAGTCTCAGTGGCCTCTGGAGCTAGCTTTCAAGGGGCAGAGCTGGAGGCGGGAGGGCGTTCAGGCAGGGGTTGGCACTCGCTCTCTTCCCCACACTGGGGAGGGTTGGGCTGGCTAGGGAGACTGGGGGTCCTAGGCCTTCTGTGAGAGACCTCGGACATCTTGAACTTTTTATGACAAATATGGAAAATATTTCCCAAGTGGAAGAGCAATCGCCGACCACAAAATCAGAGGCCTGAAACTGCGCCTTTTCATTCTTGCAAAAAGAATGCAAACCCCTGTGGCTACATCTAGGCCAAAGAAACAGCTGGGGCCATTCTGCGACCCTTTCTTTGCCTTTCAGACCCCTTCCCATTCCCCAAGGGTTCTGTCCCCTCTCCCCGCCCGGTGGCTCTCTTCAGTAAAAGGAAAAGGGACCGTGGGGTCGGTGTGACCGAGTGGCTAAGAGCCCCAGGAGGCCCAGGGACCTTGTGGGTCCTGAAATTGGGATTGCGGGTGACCCCTGTTTCAGCCTCCCTCACAAGGACTCATCTTTTGCCTGCGGTTAAAACTCCACAAGCTGTTGGCCTTGTTGGTGAGGAAGGAATTGGGGGTGGGGAGGAGGTTTGGAGCAACGTTGGTGTCCAGCTGGGAAGGACGAAGGCAGGCCAGGAGGGTCTGGAGTTTCATGGCAGCATCCCCAGCCGCCAGCAGCCAGTGGTCAGGGGGCTGGTGTACTCCCCGGTGAGCAGATTCAGGATGAGGGTGAAGAGCAGAGCTCACGAGGAGGGGTGGCCGGAAAGAAACGTTCTCAGCTCCAGCAGTGGCGGGCGCCTCTTATATCTTTGTTTCTTCCAATGGCTCTAACCTCCTCCCAGCCGTACACCGGGCTGCAGGGTGGAAGGCGATCCCATCAAGCCTGCACTCAGATCCGGCGCTTTCCTTCGGTTCCGCGCGCACACGAGGGCTTGGCAAAGGCTGAGCTTCTTTTTTGGAGACGCGGGGCGTCTCCGGAGGCCGTTCTTGGTAGAAGCGTCTTCCTGTCCTCCAACGCTTGTTGAGACGCTGAGAAATCCGCAGTTTTCACGAGGCTGCAGTGGGTTTGAACCTGGATCTTTCTGGGAGGCGAGTCCGGACAATGAACTGGTCGCCTTGGCCGGGTGCGCCCCCCTTGTCCCGCGGCCGCCTCCTGCCGGAGCCCTGGCGTTTCGCGGGAAGCGGGTCGAGGGCCGGGAGGAGCTAGGGGGAAGGCCCCGCCGCCGCATTTCCGCCTCTGCCCCGCCAGGATTGAATGTGAAATCCGGGTTCCCGCCGCCCCTCTGCATGGCTGGCGGAGGGCTAGATCACCTCCCAGGCGTCCCGGGGAACACCTGGCTGCGCCCTCGGACGCCAACTGGGTAGTGGTAGACCCGTGTGTAAACGTGTGGGCTCGAGGCCGCACTTGGCCGGCTCACATTCGGATGCACCTTTGAATCCTCCCCGTATCCCCTCAGGGGCCCTGGCCGGGAGCGATGGCGCCGCCTACTCACCCAAGATGGAAGACTGGGCTGGCGTGAACCGTGCCGCCTTCCCCGCAGCCCCGGCGGTGAACGGGCTAGAGAAACCCGCCCTGGAGGCTGACATTAAATACACTCAGGTAACCGGAATGGAGGGAAGGTGAGGCGACCTTAACTAGGGGAGCAGAAGGATTGGGGAGGTGGGGAAAGAGAAAGAAAAGGGGAAAGCCCCTTGGTAGGTGGATATTGTGTCTGACACTGGGTGGCCAGCTCCTGCCAATGGCACATTTCTGTCCTTTTCTCCAGCGCACTAGTCTGGGGGGACACTGGCTTTTGAGGACATCGACTTAGCTTTTGCCAAGATACCTTTGCTTTAAAAGCTGGAATCAGCCAGGAGCGGTGGCTCACACCTGTAATCCCAGCACTTTGGGAGGCTGAAGCAGGAGGATCGCTTGAGCCGGGGAATTCGAGACTAGTCTGGGCAACATATTGAGACCTCTTCTATACAAATAATCAAAAAATTAGCTAGGAGTAGTGGTGCGCAACTGTAGCCCCAGCTACTCAGGAGGTTGAGGCAGAAGGACCGCCTCATCCTGAGCCCAGGGAGTTGAGGCTGCGATGAGCCATGATTGTGCCACTGCACTCCAGCCTGGGTCAAGGAGTGAGACTTCAACTAAAAAAAAAAAAAAAAAGGCTGGAACCCCAGTACACAGATCCACAATCTTTAAATACACCTTTCTCTAAATCACCACTCACCTCTTGTTATTTGTAACAATTTGATGGGATTCTTAGAAATCACATTGCCAATGAGTCCTCACCAGGAGATTTAGAGGCCAGCCCCTGCGTGGGGGTCACTAACGGGCATCACAGAGGGAAGCGAGACACCCTCATGTCAGTAGTGGCGTGTGCTGGGGAAGACCGCGGGACTGTCTGCCGCTGACTGACTGCCCCTCTCGTGCCCCAGTCGGCCTCCAGCCTCTCCGCCGTGGGAGGCTTCCTCCCGGCCTGCGCCTACCCTGCCTCCAATCAGCACAGCGTGTACAGCGCGCCAGGCGGCGGCTACCTCGCCCCAGGCCCGCCGCGGCCGCC